ACTTGAACAATATTGCGTAGTAACTTTACTCTAATTATAGTAGTAGTAACGCAATTGCCCAAGTTTCAATATGACAATTTCTTTTAGAACATGTGGCTAATACCTACAGCTAACTTCCGTAGTCGACTATTTGTCGATCACAGAAACAATAAAATTGCTCAGTTTGTTGAGCTCGTCTTGACGATAGTAGTACAAAGAAGAAAGGAAAGAAACGGGGGAAAAAGTAATGAATATTATTTCAAAAAACATCATAAAAAAGTCGCACATGTGTGGTCTGATAACATATAAAAAATTATTTTTTACACACGATGGAATTAACATTATTGTAGTATCGGGTAAAAACCCTGGAGAAAATCTCGATGTACTACAGGTAAAAAACAGTAAAAGTGTTGACAAGCCTGGGAAAGATGGGAGGTCCCATCCCCAATTTTTTTTGTTACCTAGGGACAGTTATTGTAAAATGGTACTATAGTTAAAGGCCAGTTAATTGCTTGAAACCATTCATTTTGAGCCAACTCCGTGAATATTAATAATTAAAGAGACTGTCCTCCATTAAATGTACTACGCAAAGCAACCAGATGAAATTCCCTTTCACCGCCTCTCCCATAAACATATTTCATTCCGAGGTGCATTGTGTTTGCCGCACAATCGGCACGACAAGCATATCCGAAAGGAACCACTGTTCAAATCGCACGAAAACAAGCAGGAAAATATGGTTAGCCGAAACTAAACTGCTTATAGAAATTCGCCCATTTCCTACGGAAAGGTGACATCGAATTTTCCCACTCGACCAAAGTGTATAGAATGGGAGGAAAGGATGGAGGAAAAGATAGAGATAGAAATAGAAACAGAGAGAGAAAGAGGAATTTGAAACTGGTCTAAAATCATTGCAACCAAAGGGATGGATGAAATTTGTATTCAAGCTGTTTCCCACCAACGGACATTTTCGACAGTATTCCTTGCGTTTAGTACTTAGAGATCTTGTAACACTCAAACTCTCTCTCTCTCTCTCTCTCTCTCTCTCTCTCTCTCTCTCTCTCTCTCTCTCTCTCTCTCTCTCTCTCTCTCTCTCTCTCTCTCTCTCTCTCTCTCTCTCTCTCTCTCTCTCTCTCTCTCTCTCTCTCTCTCTCTCTCTCTCTCTCTCTCTCTCTCTCTCTCTCTCTCTCTCTCTCTCTCTCTCTCTCTCTCTCTCTCTCTCTCTCTCTCTCTCTCTCTCTCTCTCTCTCTCTCTCTCTCTCTCTCTCTCTCTCTCTCTCTCTCTCTCTCTCTCTCTCTCTCTCTCTCTCTCTCTCTCTCTCTCTCTCTCTCTCTCTCTCTCTCTCTCTCTCTCTCTCTCTCTCTCTCTCTCTCTCTCTCTCTCTCTCTCTCTCTCTCTCTCTCTCTCTCTCTCTCTCTCTCTCTCTCTCTCTCTCTCTCTCTCTCTCTCTCTCTCTCTCTCTCTCTCTCTCTCTCTCTCTCTCTCTCTCTCTCTCTCTCTCTCTCTCTCTCTCTCTCTCTCTCTCTCTCTCTCTCTCTCTCAAGGAAGGAAGGAAGGAAGGAAGGAAGGAAGGAAGGAAGGACAGGCATGGAAGCCTGGATTCAATCTGAAATGTCGGAAAATTAGATCTCAAAAGAGAAACTCGACCCTATCTCGCGAAATATCACACTGTGCCCAGGCCAGATGGTTGAAAGGGTAGGGAATAGAAAAAAGTCGTACTTTGCACAGTAGTGTGTATGTTAGTACAGCCATGCTTTAATACTAGAAGGTATAGCTGTCTAGTGAGAAGTCGATGGAACGAAAAGTGACGTTTGTCCGTTGGAGAAAAATTTGTTCTTTAAACACTCTACTTTTCTCGTGCCTGCGGTTTGGAAAGCACTGCATTTTTCTTGAATCTAATATAACTAAAATATAAAAAAAGTGACGTAATAAATGAATACACGTTTATGAAATAAAACAATAAATAATGATATGCGTAGTCATGATTAATATATGGTTTAATTATATTCATGGCAAAGTTAGTTTTATCACGTCTAGTAAACACGGAAGTGGTCATCGCTATCGAAGAAGGATAATCCAGCAGATTTTATTTTTACAAGCTCCTTCAACAGGAAAAATAGCTTATAAAAGAAAGTTTCGTAGTAACGATAAGAGGTTAAGGGGGAATTGGAGAACTTGGAGTATGTATTTATAAACAAACTGGAAAATTTTATCACGGAAACATCTGTATTCATGAAACTAGTGCTGGTTAAAAAAATACGTTATAATCTTTACAAACACAGGGTGGGTTCCTTGAAATAAATATTTCTCAACCGTATTTAAAAGTGAAGCAATTCTATTGGAAGTTACATCTAATTTTACAGTAAACTTGACTTAATATTTATAGAAATTTCATCATTATAAAATATCGATATACTATATTTAAAGTGTTAATTGCAAAGTACATTGGCATTATAATCATAAATAATAATCTTGGTCAACTTCCTAGAATGTTTAATCTAGGGCATGATAGAATTTGGAAAATATAAGAAAGATCGTTAAAAGTTATGAAGAAATTTTTTTTTAATTATACTTTCGAAAAACATCATTACTGCTTGAATAGAATACGACTGTCATTTGCCAATTACATGGAAAGCATTATTTTGACAGCTTTTTTGGAATCACGAATGCATTGTACCCCTTTTTTTTAGAAGTCAAATTTTATTCCACCGTGAATTCTATGTTCGCGGCTGTATTGCAATTTTTTGCGCGGAAAGGAAATGGGTCGTCCCGCTGCTCGTCAATTTTATGCAAGGTTATTTGTCTTGCACGCTTCTAAAAGGGACCAAGTTTGTGGAATAGATAAAAATACAAATTTTACGCGCGCATTTAGATCACAAGCTTATGTGTCGCAGATCATCGATAAGGTTTAACTACGAGACAAGTTTTACGATTTTCCGAATTGTAGAATAGCCCATGCCCTGTTCAAATTATTAGAAAAAGAATGTATCAACATCAAGTATGAGAAAAAATCAATCGACATGTTTTACTTTCTAAATAAAAAATACTGATAAGAGATTTATAGCAAATGTTTCATTAATAGTAACAGAAATACATGTCATTAAGTAGTATCTAATAAAGTTTATCCTTCGTTACGAAGAAAATGATCGAAGCCTAAGTGTTATTTCCAAGGTGTTCATAAGCGAGAGCTGACATTCCTGAACTAGCTGAGACAGCTTGTTAAGTTTCCTGGTATGCCATGCTCCTGCAGCTTCTAGAGAAATACCTTCGATACTTGCAGAGATTGTAACATCGTAGGTAACTAATACAGCCGCCCCCGCTATCCGCACTAAATTTCCATATTTCAGTTATGTAGTATAGCAACTGCTATTTGTGTCTATCACGACACCAATCATAAAAATCATTAGGACCTGCCATAAATATGACATTGTTCGCTTAATTCGATAGTTTGTATTATTGTACGACTGATTAGATAAATATTGAACTAATATTACTTTACCATGCAGTAATGCTAGGTAATTAGAATTACACGGATGCGAATTCCGTTAAAGAAATTCGATCATATCCCATTTCTGCCATTTAAAGATTTCCTAAAGTAATAGTAATAAGAGCAATGACAATTAATAAATAATATAACAGTACGATATGTGGCGGCACTCGACAACAAATACCGCCACTCGACACTAACTTCTGTCGGACGAAGACAGCGCAATGGTTCGCGCCTTAGGTTACGAACGTTCGCGACCCGGAGTCCGATTTTTCTTCTACGCATCAAAAATGGAAGAAAAACAGCAGTACCCCAGCAGCGACGTCTATAGCCAGCAGCTACAAGTATCACGGACAACATATACACCTCAGATATATTATACATTTATGTGGCAACTTATGTGGATCTTAGAGTAAGGACAAGTAATGATGTTTTATTTAGAGTTTAGTTTAGTTCAATAAGCGATACTCAATACAAAGGACCGATTACAATATCGTCGTACGTCTTATTATCATACTCTCCGGCTCCTCCACTTACACTCTCTGACTTCTCGACTCACATTGCCCGACTTCTCAACTCACACTGCCCATTCTCAACTCACATTCTGGCCGTTCTAGCATCCCTTTGTCTTTCCCTAGGCCCATCACACACGTATTCCGCAGACGCTCGTTGCCAGGGTCACGTAGGCCTTTTCTACAAAACTATGCACTTGAAAAGATCGACGACACATTGATGGACCCGACGGCGCCTCGGCTCTCGCGACATTGTTCATGGTTAACTCGATGTTTCTTAGGCCCTTTTCCCGATACTACATTTATGGAAATGAGAGATTTCTCTCCGAAAAACAAGATTTCCCGTGTCTTTTCCTTGTTATTTTTATAAATATGAATAAGCTTTTTTCAACAATTTACTTTGTTCAATGGATCGAGTAACCACTCCGCGAAGACCATTTATTTAACTTGTTCATACATGAATCGTGTATCGACAAATTAAAATGTGCAAAATCCATCAGTTACGTGAAAAGAACTGTGTAGAACATCGTATCGAGAAAGGGTACAGAGGCGAACACCTAATTGGGATTGATGTGCCCCACAACTGACGTGCATCCTAGATCTTTACTGATCTAAATAGTGTAGGTGATACCGTTTCCAATTAGTTATTTTACCAAGTTTCTCGTTCTGCCACGATACGTCCTACCGGTTAAACTGTGCGCAAAAAGCTCTGACGCTGACCGTTTGATCACTAGAAACGCTCAAAATAGCAACCAACTAAACGCGCTTAACAGTCATCTGCATTTAAATAAATACCCCGTTTCTTGCATCGGTTTTCAGTCTTGAGGAAAGATTAAATATTAAAGAAAATCTTTGAAATTCGAGGTTCTTAATTAACTATTTTTATAATCTTACATTTTTATCTGTTTTTAGTTCATCCTCTAATCGAGTACTTTATACTCGAGTATAATTAGTATAATGAGTATAATTAGTTTTCTATTTCTATTATACAGTTTCACTATTAGAATAATTTCGAAGAAATTACCTGACTTTTCATCGGATCTGTGTTAATCTGACACATGTAGAGCCCCTCGTCTTCCTTTTGCACGTTCTTTATGTGGAGATTCCATGTGGTATGATCGCTATGAGATACCGAGACCCTGTTATTATGAGTTATTACGTGATCGTGGATCGCCTGGATCGCCTTAGTATCCACTTTCAGCCACCCAACCTGCGGAAATATTTATTTATTACGAGAAATTCAGCGCAACCAATTAATTTGAAAGCCTCAATATGCGGTATTGCAGTATTTTAAACTTTCGATAATATGGATTCAATGAAAATTAGGAAAAATCGTTTCGCGTTATTCTTCGTATAAATCACGAAGAAAATCAATTATTCTTCTAAATTCGATTTACTGTCCTATTCTTTAACCATAACTTTGTTCACAAACAAACGTACAGCTTAAAGAAAAAGCTGCGTCATACAAAATCAATTTATTATATCGTTATATAGCTTCTAATTGGAAAAAATATTCGTAAAGCGACGTTTCAGACGCAATGAAACGACGGCTTTTTGAAGTTGGCTTCAATTCAGTTTGGCGAGAAATTTACTAGAACCACGCAGGTTGAACCTATTAGTCAAGTGTAAGTCCTCCCTCCGGTCAGATCGAAAGGGTTAATGAGACGGTGGCACACCGAGCAAACGAGGACGATCAGAGGGCACAGACGTGTTCATGGATTTCGACGGTCGAGAACACCGCAATTTCCCTATAGATAGGTCGAATACGGAATACAAACAAGCCAGATACCTACGCCACGACCGGAGAGACACGTATAGGCGGCGCGTACGCGTCTTCTATCTCCTTGGCCAAACTTCGGAGCGATATTTGCATTTTCCTTAGAATATTCCAAATCTCGGTAAGTCGCAGAGGCATGCTATGGGGGATCTCGAGAAACGCTTGTATTAACAGAAAAGGGGTTACCGAATGTGCTTGAGGGATGTCGTAATGGTGTTCGATATTGTTTTCGGAGAGTAGCTCTCGCTGCTAGAAAGATGTAATTAAAATTTATTCCTACAATGCCTGTGGTTTACTAGTGATTCTACAGAAGTGGGAGTTTTTTGCGGCTCCGACTTTTTAACACTTTCAAAAACGTTAGACTGTATTATATTTGCATGGCAGAGGAAGATAAGAGCTGTAACTTCATAAGCAAATTATAAAGAACTAAGAATTTAATTTATTGATATTCAAAAATTACTTTTTATACGTAAAATTCTCAGTTCCTTACTATGTCACAACTACAAAATTTACTCTAAAACTAAATTTACTCAGTGAACAAATCTTAAGTTTTTTACTAATTTTCCCTTTTTATATATATGTCGTATCGTGGCCGTAATACGGGTCCGGGTCGCTATCATAGTAAGAGTTTGAGGTATGTAATGAACCTTCACTGGAACTATCCATCTTCTTACACAGTTGAAGTGACGTTTATTGACACAAATAAAGATATTACAAAGATAGCGAAGAATCACGATGGTTAGGCACTTGTGACGCCGGTCTAAGACTCGATAACGAACCCGCGGTCAACGGGTTAGTAGGTTTATTTCTTCATCAAAGTCTAAGTTGGAATTGATACCAAGCGTGGAGTAATCACAGATAGCAAGACGTTAGTTAACTCGTCCAGAGCTCGTACGCGAGAGAGAGAGTGACTCTCCGTTACGGTAATGCTGTCGAGGAAAACTATGATGGGGTGTGTCTAACGGCACGAAATCATCGGATGCGTGGAGAGATGCCTTCATTCGGGAAGTGAGGGAAATTGACGTTACTGTTAATTGGTCAATTTCCATGTTGGTGTTTAGAGAAGGATGCTAGCCGCCCTTGAGGGAAAGTTGCTAGCGGGAAGCGCTGTTCGTCAGAAAAATAGATTTCTCCTATCTTCCCATAGTTGGGACAAAGACTGCTTGTCCGTTTGAAGGACCTTAATTAACAAAATCTTAAGATTTATAGCGGGTCCTCAGGCTAGCTGAATATGTACTGTGGAGGTGCGTCGGCATCTGGTAACCATCATACCCGAAGAATAGGGTCTGCGTGTGGCAAGCCACGGGACAGAAACCGTTGGAATGTTTACTGTCGCGTGCTGCTACCAATATTTTTTTTAAGGAGAGCTATACAATTACTCCATACCTTTGTTAGACAAAGCGTTCATCCCGTGACTGCGGCTACGTTCGGCAACTGGTCGTCGCCTCGAGCCCAAGGTTATTATCACGAATCTCGAACAAATACAATCAGATTGAATGACAATTGTTTAATTACGCTTATGCTAGAATCTAGATTACGGTGTCAAGGGATTTTCCCGAAGTTCCAAAGGGAAGGCCCCTTGTCCTTTCATCTCCGGCACGGCCATCCTGACTATCTCACGTCCTCGGGTGTAACTAAAATATTGGGTTTTCCCACATTAGACTCAATAGAATTAACGTTGTTTACAAGTTAGCTAAGTGTCCAAATAAACCAATGGTCCAGTTCAACAGCAAATTTCGTTCGGAGATTTGGTAACAAAAGGAATAAAAGAAAACAAATTGGTAACAACATTGGTAACAACATATTCAAAATGCTGGTTGCATCCTGCGGGTTATCAGTGGGTCTGATGGATCATTCTCGATTTCGCACCCAAATGAATCTCGTTTTTCTGGATCGCACGACCACACAGAGTTTGATTACATTGTCGCCCCGGGTGCATGTGAACTTATCACACGACCTCATCAAGCTTCATAACATTATCACTCATGGTGCATGTGAATCCATTACACGACCTTAACAAGCTTCATAGCATTATCACTCATGGTGCATGTGAACCCATCACACGACCTTAACAAGCTTCATAGTATTATCACTCATGGTGCATGTGAAGCCATCACACGACCTTACCGAGCTTCATAACATACTCTGCTAGATATTATGGTCATTGTGCTTATGATCCTCCGAGGTCGCTTTACTCATATCACCATGGTCACTGTTCTCGCCATCGCTACAGACATCCAACTCAACGGAAATACAACTATCTGGCATTTTTCTCAATCTGTCGTGACTGTATTTATAGGATCGTTTGCCGTGTACTGTTTTCGAAACACACCTAACTCCTTCCAAAATTTCAGCTATTACAAACGGGCCCTTAAATTTTGGATCTAATTTAGTTTGATTTTATTTCCTCGTTTTTGCGCAATACAAAATCCAGGTTGGGGGTGCAATTCAAAGCCAACTGTATTTTGCCAATCGCGTCTAGCCACGATCGCCCGGTCGTTTCTATGATTGTGAACATAATTTTCAACGTACCCATAATACGCTCTACTTGTCCATTGGACCTACTAGCACCGGTTGCTATTAAGTGGAGTTTAATATGTTTACCTCGACAAAAATCTTGGAATTCTTTGCCCGTAAAACATCTTCCTTGATCTGCTATTATCCGTGAGGGGCTGCCGAATAAAAATATAGCAGACTTAAGCGCTTTAATGGTATAAAGGGAATCTATTTTACGAGTATGATGCAGGTATACGAATTTAGTGAAGACGTCGACCAAAACAATGACATATTCTTTCGAATCACTTTTACCGCTTAGTTTGCCCGTTATGTCCATGTGAACTGTATACCAAGGTATGTTGGTCTTAGGTATAGGATGTAATTTAGCTTGTATTTTACCTGAATTTGCCTTCGAAACTTGATAAGCATGATAGTTCTCTACGAATTTACGAACATGTTTCGCCATTCCTTCGAACCAGCAATACTCGTACAGCTTCTCAAGCGTTTTATCCCAACCTAAGTGCATAGTTGACTGGTGCATATGGTTAATAACTGACCACCTAAAACCTCTTGGGACAATGGACAAGAAGAGCGTTCTGCCTTTTCTTTGTATTTTACGATAAGAGGTACCAGATCGTAATTCATACGCATTTGCGACATCCTCCGCGAGCTCATCATTTTACAATTTAGTGACGATTTCTGAAATTTGAGGATCCCGACGTTATTCTGCTAACAGCCAATCTTCTGAGATTTCGGCCAGATTAATGTCTTTTCTTTGACTTTGTTAATTATACTATGATCAATGTCTATGGGATTTCGCGAAAACAAATCTACGTGAGCTATTCGTTTACCTTCTCGATACACAATGTCAAAATTAAAAGTTTGTAAGTAAGCCCACCACCTGTAAACTCTATCATTTAAATTCACCTTAATACTAGATGTCTTCAAGGAATTACAATCAGTAACAACAAGAAATTCTCATTCATGTAAATAGTGGCGAAAATGTTTAACAGTGTATACAACTGTTAACGTCTCTAGCTCATATGAATGATACCTACATTCCGCAGGGCTAGTTCTTTTACTGTAGTATTCTACTACTTTATTTTTACCTTCAACCTTATGCATTAAAGAAACCCCATATCCATCCAAACTAGCGTCAGTATGTAATCCTATCGGATAATTAGGGTCAAATATCGTTAACACCGGCGCGTCGGTCAGGGCGGAAATTACCTTTTGCCTTTTTTTTTTTTTTTGCCTTTTTTTTTTTTTTTTTTCATGCCTATCCGTCCAAGTTATGTTTTTATTACCGGAAGTAAGTGCATACAAGGGTTTCATTACCCTTGAAGATTTAGGGACGAATTTTCGAAAGTAAGAAACTAAACCTATGACCTGCCTATGCTGTGTGACGGTCGTTGGTTCAGGCAAAGAACTCAAGGTTTGTATTTTACTCGAGTTATGGCGAACTTCTCCGTTATGAATTACATATTCCAAATAGAGTACCGATGTCTTTAGGAAAGAGCATTTAGAAAAATTAGAAAAAAATCCGGCATTTACGAGGGTATTTAATACGGTGTACAATCTTTCTACAGCTTGATCTATGGAGTCGACAATAATTAGAACATCATCCAAATAAACAACAACGTACGAATGGTACGCGTGTTTTCATAGAAATCTCTGATCTCTCGTTTCGTTTATTCGCAACATTAAAACCACTAGCTGTTGTTGAATATAATGAAGGAAAGTATGGTATAGATTATTCTGACCAAATGGTTTCTTATGGCACCACAATTAGAAAAGGGATTAAATGGTACGGAAGACCCGGCATGCAACTCCTTCTGGGGATTTCTGTTGTAAACGCTTTGATGGTTTACAAAATTGCAGGAAGGAACATAAATATTAGAATATTGTAGTATCGTAGTCGAGGGGCTTAGG